TCCTATAGAGGATTAAGAGATATTAGCGATTATACGTACTTTTAAGGAATAAAGATACTTCCTTAAAGCGCCTACTATTAGTACGCTTATACTAACTAACTATACTACGCTATAGAGCTTTATAAATATAAAGGTACTAGATTAAAGGTAAACTAAGTAGGCGGAACTTCTAGTACCCTTTAATTTCGTAATTCGCTATCGAAAGGATAAAGAAAACCCTACGGACGGCCTTTTAAGGCGTCTAGATTACGTTATAAAGGAGGAACTTAGGAACCCTCTCGATAACTTAATTACTTTACGCTTACGAGAATTAATTAATATAATTATAATTAAAGTCTCTCTATTTTACGTAAGAGCGTTAACGAGAGCTCGAACTCGCGGAATAAGATACGTTCCGGAAGAGAGTAACTAGAATACTATATTTCTAGTATATAAGTCTTAAGCTCCTAGGAAGAGGAATACGCGTAAGGAATCCTCTTCGATATATTCTAAAGAAACTCCGTTAATCTCTAAGTCTTTAGAAGATTAAATCCGAGAGTTATAGACTGGAGATTAATAGTATATTCGCCGGACTTAGGAAGGCCTCTCCGAAGGTAAAATAGAAGACTTACTTTATAAGGGGAAGTAGTACGTTAACCCTACTAGAATCGTACGAGTTAACGGCGTAGTATATATTCTAGAGAACTCCGCTATACGAAACGAGATTCTAAGAGTAAATTACGACGACCTATAGTAAAAGGGCTATTTCGACTAAGGTAGAACGCGTAAGATAATATAGCGGTTCTACTAGTAGTCTAGAATAATTAAAGATATTAGAGATTACGTAACGACTTATAGTATTTATTAGAGAATAAAAGTACTAAGGTATAAGCCGTACGGACTATTAGCGTCGCTACTATAGTTTAATTAGCTATAGTAGGACCTAACTATAGATTTTATCGTAGGCTTACCGCCGTCGATAAGTAAGCGAAAAGCTTACGACTCGATTTTCGTAGTAATCTATAGATACTCTAAGATAGTTAGATTTATCCTATACTACTTTAATATCGAGGTATCCGAGTTAGCGTAGTTATTTAACGACGAGATCGTATCTAAATAAGGCGTTCCTCGATCGATCGTAAGCGATAGAGGCTCCTTATTTACGTCTAGATACTAGAGAACCTTCTACTACTAGCTTACTATACGTAGGTATTTATCTACGTTCTATTATCCTTAAATAGATAGGTAAACGGAGCGGATAAACTAAACGCTAGAAGCGTACCTACGCTATTATATTAACTATTCTTAAGACGATTAAACTTCCTTATTATCCGAAGTCGAGTTTACTTATAATAATATAGTTAACTAGGTAACTAAAGCGTCCCTATTCTAGATATATTATCGCTATCCGCTAACGATATATATAAATATAGTAAGAGAAGAGTAGCTAGACGAGAATGTCTAAGTACGAGCGATAGTCGATCGTAACCGAGAAGTAGAAGAATAGACTAAGAACCTCTAGTAGAAAGCTTAATAATCTACTAAATAGTTTTATAATCGCTATCGTAAGGTTATTAAATTTAAGGAAGACGATTTCGTACGGCTCTTAACGCGTAATATTTATACGCGAAGACCTAGCGTAAAGCTTACTAATAAGTTCTTAAGACCTTTCCGTATCCTTATAAAGGTCGGAAGGAATACCTACCGTTTAGTACTTCCTACGAAATATTAGCGTTTATATCCGACGTTTTATATCTCGCTTCTTAAACCGTTTTATATTCGACTTAATTAGGCGCTACTAGAGTCGGAGGATATCGATAGTAACTAATTTTATAAAGTAGAAGAGATACTAGATTCTCGTACGATAAAAGGTAGAGAAAAGTAGTATTTACTTAAGTAGAAAGGGTATAGTCCCGAGGAAGACTTATACTAACTCGTAGAGAATCTATCTCTAGAACTACTAGAACGGATCGAATAAATAGATAGAAAAGGAAAATAATAGAAATAATTTATTTAATTCCTCTCGTATTAAGGCGAGAAGCCCGCTAAAACCCTACTACTAGTAGTAGGGAGAGGCGCCTAGGGCGCGAAAAAAGTAGAAAGTAGATAAGAGAATAGAACCTATACCTATTAATTAGTCGAAGATATCTATATCGTCGACGCCCCCCTCACTATTATTATTATCGTTACCGTTATTACTACTAGCGCCCTCTAGCTCTCTATCGCTATCGCTATCGCTATCGTCGTTACTATCTTCTATTAGAAGATCTTTATAGTACTCGCTAGTTTAATAATCGTTAAGACCCGACTAGCGGAAAAGCGCGATATTATACTACGAGAAGTATACTATTAACTTAGACTAAAAGAGACTTAAGAAGAGTAGGTTAGAAGTATACTTATAGCTTAAGCTAGTACGGCGGTTAAAGTACGTAAAGCTTCGATAATCTATTAACTAGTAAGGTTAGTAATACCTACGCTAGTACTACTACCTATAGCGGCGCTAGACTTAGAGGGAGTCGAGATACTAAAGCCCTTAAAGACCTTAATTACCTCCTTTTTATAGTTAATAAAGGCCTTACCGAGCTTAGTAGCCTTCTTATAGATCTAGTTAGCTACGTAAGGAATTAGTAGGGTTTAAGTAAGCGAGTAGCTAGGAAGAATAGGGAGAATATACTAGAGAGGGCGGGGACCTCGCCTTCCTTAATAGGAATAGTAGCGGCGTATACCTCGTCGATAGTAGACTAAAAACGAGAGGAGATCGGGATATAAGGGTAGTTACCTTTAGTATAACGAGTATATTTACTAGTACTAGCGGATACCTTATACTTATTACCGACGACGTCGGTAGGGTCGTTCTTAAAGTTAGCCCTATATAGAAGTTAATAATAGGATATACTTTAAGTACGCTATAAGCGGTAGAGGAGTATACTTATAGGGCCCGGATATAACGCTAATATTATAGAAACTTACGCTAAGCGCGTATACTCTTAAAAGGGGTAGAAGACTTAGGGAGAGACTAACGAGGAGCCATTATAATTAAGATTAACTTAGGAGAATTATTTAATTTAGGAACGAGTTAAGTAGGCGAGTATTACGTATAAAGTAATAGTAAAGAGAAAGAAGAGAGAGGAAAGGAAGGCCTTAATAGAAGTCGAAGACGTAGATATATATAGGACTAGAAACTACCTACCTATCGAGTATAATACGATTATACTATAAATAGGAAAAGGAAATAAATAGGCTAAATAGTAATAAAGTAAATGTACTAAGCGATTAATGTATAAGAATAAAATACTAAGAGTATAATTAAATTAAATAGAAGGTATTTATTTAACATAATAATAGTATAATATACTATTATTACCTAAATGCGGATACTTCTATATTAGGACTAGTACTAAATTAACGAGGCTACGTAAGGCTACCGAGTACTTAGCTACCTTACTAGTTTAAGGGTAAACTACCCGGGGGAGAAGGGGTAACTATTACGAATACCTACGTAATACTAGATACTTAGCTAAGGCTACTAACTAAGGAGTCAGGCCGCTAGCTAAGTAGCTAGCTTACCGTATATATATAGTAAGAGGGGTTATACCTGTTAACCTTAAAGCCTTCTTTAAGCGTTAACATCTCTATCTATAGGCTAGTTATCTATCATTATTAATCCTATAGTATATACATTCACCCTCCAGTTAGGTAACGGGTCTAATAGTCCGCTCCCTTCTACTCCCTTATATCAGACCCGTTACCTAACTGGAGGGTGAATGTATATACTATAGGATCAATAATGATAGATAACTAGCCTATAGATAGAGATGTTAACGCTTAAAGAAGGCTTTAAGGTTAACAGGTATAACCCCTCTTACTATATATATACGGTAAGCTAGCTACTTAGCTGGCGGCCTGACTCCTTAGTTAGTGGCCTTAGCCGAGTATCTAGTATCACGTGGGTGTTCGTGATACCTTACGGCTCTAGCCCGCTCCGGTATTAGGAATGCCTTATTAGAGATAGGTAGTACTTAGCGATAGATCGATTCCGTAGTAATAAGTATCTCTTTACGTATAGTAGTAATAAGACTCGAAGTATAAGAAAAGGATACTTCTCGAGTACGAGAAGTATACTTTTCTCCTTCGGTAAGCATACGGCCTAAAGTAGTTTAGGTCTATCCGGCTCGTCGGGGTCTTCCCAAGCCATTTAACCCCTTTTTCTAAAGGCCGCGTAGGAGGATACTTCTATCGATAAGAGGTCGTTTTAGCTCTAATAACTCTCGCCTCCCCTCCCTTTACTATACTTCTCGTGTAAACTACTCCTCCTATCTAGTCTTCTAACTACCTAAACGCACCCTCCTCGCGTTTCGTTATACCTTACCTCTCGCTCTCTAGTTATCTTCTTTTCCTTCCGTTATATATATGTAATGGCCCAGAACTCTCCAGATGAAAGACTTGTCTACCCTGCCTTGAAGAACACTTTCAAGGGAGCCGACGCGCTAGTACTGTACGAGGATCGGTTAAGGTTCGGCGTGCACGTGCAATAACGTACAGAGGCCTGTCCAGCAGGTCGGTAGTCGTAAGGGATTCCTTAATCAGGATTCAGCCGCCAGCGCGTTCAATCTTCAGAGGTAACGTCCAGGTCATGCCGTAAGGTATTGTAGGCGGCGGGAAGAGATCAGGTAGTAGTAGCGGTAGCAGTAAGAAGAACACAATACAATAAAGACTTAGTTGTTGTCGACGCCTTACAGATTGATGATTCTCGCCTGTCTTCTCCTTGGAGTTCTCTCAGCAATACTTAACGGAAAACCCATGTCATGTCTTCTGTACAGTCACGTGACTGTACTATCCTTCTTTCGACCTACCCAGCCCATTACAGTACGGAACCGTAAGAGGATCCGCGAACATATCCAGAAGACGCGGCACAATATAGACGTTCTTCGAAGCTGCCAGGTCTCATAGCAACGCGGCCGTAATTACAGCACGTGACGCGTCCGATTGACCGGCAGGATACATACGGCCATACGCCACTAATGTCGGCGTTATTTCAGCGGGATGAGACGGCAGTTGGGGTCTTACTTGACACGGGGAAGGTCGACCTAGATCGTCGGGATGGCTATGGCTACATGCCACTGATGTTGGCAGCAGTTAAGCGGGTATGAGAAGATAATCCCGGCACTGCTTAGCACAGAGACTGACCGACAGGACGATTACGGCCACGCCTCTAATGTTGACAAATGCAGGCCCTACTTAAAACAGGGAAGGTTAACCCTGATGATCGGAACGGCGTACCATCACCCGTCAGTGACAGCCAATCTGCTATCCGAGCAATCGTCAACTTCTGAGAGCCCGGCTGTGTGCCAGGTCTCGTCCAATAGTGTCAAGTGTACCGAGTAAATGTGGACAATCACAAAGTCCCTGCGGCTGAAAGTCCCGGTGGCTCGGAACGTGTTGACGGATCATTGGCTAGAACCACTAACCGGTGTGATGACCTAATGTGATTGACGAACAGAGTGCGGAGAAGGGGTTCACACGAAATCAGACTGAGAGTCATTGGGCTAGACGCGAAGAAAGAGAGATGGTTCAGCTACAAAGTCTGTATGTCCTACAAATAAGTGGAATTCATTCTTCCAGAAGCTGAGATACGTTTGATCTGTTCGAGGGGTCTTTCGCATGACCTTCTTTGTTCAAGATTTTAAGTCTAACCTTTAATTCCTTTCACAGCGTTGTTTCATGATGTCAAGCAATGATAGCCTCGATCTTTTGTGGTTTTATGATTCCGAACAGCCTGACCATTCGTCTGCCAAAGATTTCTCACCCACAGAAATAGCCCGGCGACCATGGAAAGCATTTTGGCCACCTAGGTCAGAAGATAACTTCAATTCTTGGCTTCTATCCGAATTTCCAGAAGTTCTCTCGTGGCAATTCGACCCCGACCGGCCATTTGATCAACCTTGGCGGAACTGGCTCAGAAGTCTGCTAATGAAAGTTGAAGCAGGCAGCTGTCGAAAGAAGTTCACTTCGAAAATTGTAAACCAAGGTATTTCCCTACAAACTCAGTGACTCTGACTCTGAGTTTGACCTGTCGTCAGCGTCCACCATGGATATCTCGGATCCAAGTACAAGACTACCCAAAGTCCAAGGTGCCACCATTACTTATCTTGCTCCTCTGGAGCTCTACAAAAACCAGAAGCCATATTTCAGCCAGCTACCCTGCGGAACCCCGCTAGCGCGTACTAACCTCGTTGAAAGCGACCACCTTGTCGACATACGTGATATTAGTGGCAGAGAAGACATATTTGAACTCGATGAGACAGGCTTCCAATTCATGCACCTTCCGACAAACATATCAGACTGGATGGACGAAAGTGTACAATCAGAATATCTCCCAGCCATATCGGCATGGCTGAAGGAATATTTCAAGTGCCAGAAGGTCTTCATCTACAATTACAATGTACGGCGCGTTTCCCACTATCTAAGATGCACAGCATCACTAACACCAAACAAGCTTCGAACCAACGACACGACAAAATCAGGGGATGGCACATGGAGGAGTCCCATATTCCGAGTCCACTGCGGTAAGCAAAAGCAACTTAACACCCCTTCAAAAGCAATTCACCCTTTTTAATCCAGCCCCAATATTTAGACAACACTCCCGAGTCCTGCGCAAAACGCCTAGAATTCCAATTCCCAGCTGAAGCGGCCGCAATCAGAAGTGGTCGTTACCGTTACGTAGAGTAAGTGAAACCCTTAGCAAACCCGCAAACAATCCACATCAACTTGGTGCTGATAATTACGAATAGCATCTGGCGCTGTGTCGCCGGGGCAAACGTTGACGCTCCCCTCGCAGTCTGCGACTACCGCAGTATAACACCAGGAGACCTGCACAGAATCGACATAGTCTACCCACATTTCAGCGAGGAAGGGTTTGAAGTAACGTATAACCCTGCGCACCGGTGGTACTGCAAGAAGGGAATGTCGAAGGATGATATCGTGTTGTTTAAGATCGATGATAACTTGGAGGGCGTGGCTAGGTGTAAGTCATAAGTTTTAGTGATTTTGACTCGAGGGTTGAGTACAGTGACTGATGTGTAGTAGTTGCGCCGCATACGGCTTTTATCGATCCGTCGGTTTCGGGGAATACTAAGAGGGCAAGTATTGAGGTTAGGGCTATCATTTGTGGGTAGGGATGTTCAAGTTGTGCGGGAAAAAGATTGGAGGGATGTCAAGGAAGCCAGTCATGTTTTGAACACTAACGTGTTATGAACCGGGTATTTGCTGCAGACCTTCATCACTTCATTGGTACTTCGATGCGTCGTTGGGAAAAGTGACTTATTACAGATTTCTTGATATGAAGTATATCCAAAGAGCAACAATATCGATGAAATTCGTTGGGATACAACTGAAGACAACGTTATGATCAAGCATATCCCACCAATCCCCCTCGTCTCTTCGACATTTGCTCAGAGGCCATCGCCTTCCCACAGCTTCCTACGCATCACCATTGGCTGCTTTGCTCTGCAATTCTCGATCTTTCAAGAAGTCAGCCAGTTTCTGCTCCCGTTTCTTGGTTTCCACGTGCAGACTGCTCAACTCCTCAGCACTTTGGGCTAACTCTTGTCTATAGCACTGCTCAGCCTCATTGTACATACCCATACTGACATATGTGGCAGCCGCGTCGTGATATGTTCGAAGGATCTCTGCACTGCCAGATCTTTGCCCCGATTTACGAAGCTCTAGAACTCTCTCAAACATATTAATCGACTTTGTAACATCATTGCCGTCTCGGTAAAGGTTCGCTAACTTATGCATTATCCGCATAACGCTTGGGTGCTCAGCTCCTACGCGACCTTGCATGCCACGTAATGCTCGGTTGTACAAAGTTGTTGCTTCTTCGAACCGTGAATGCTGGTGGTAGACATCCGCTAGGCCCTCGACTACCCAGAGAGTTTGTGTGTGGTCATGGCCTAACTGTTTCCCGTTGGCGACGATTGCCCGCCTGTACATGGCCTCGGCTTCCTGCAAGCGACCTAGACCAGTATATGCCGATGCAAGGTTGGCAACTGTCCACAGCGTCTGCGGGTGATCTTCTCCCAGTTGGGATATGCGTCCCTTGAGAACTCTTTTGTAGATCTCTAGGGCTTCCATGTGTCGACCTTGAGCTCGATAGTTGGTTGCGAGATTATCAGCCGTCCACAAACTGTCAAGGTGGTCCGCCCCTAATTGAGCTTCTCGATAAGTCAACGCTAGTTTGTGCAGACTTTCCGCTTCAAGATATTGGGCGTGGTCATTTTCGGCTTCCCCAGATTCGTTGATAATTATTGCAAGATTCTCAATAGCCTGAACAGTGACAAGATCGTCTCGTCCAAGACTCTTTCTGCGACTCTCGAGGACATGTTCTAGCATTGAGCGAGCTTCTTCATACCGGGCTTGTGACCGGTACACGAGTGCCAAGTTTTCGACAACTTGCAGAACATCGGGGTGATCAGCACCAAGTTGCGATTGTCGAATCCGCAGTACTTGCTCATACAGCAATGCAGACTCACTGTGATTGCTCAGGTGCCAATTGACTTGCGCGAGACCGAGTTCCCACTGAATTGCTTCGGTATCACCAGTACTGCCGATACGCAGTATTTGCCGATACATCTCGCGAGCCTCGTGGTATCTACCACGCTCGCACCAGTACGCAGCTGCGTTGCCACGCGCTGTTAGAATTTCGGCGTTGTTGGGGTCTACCAATTCGCCGTACTTTGTCAGCGAGAGGGTATGTGAGATCAAGTCGTCACATTTATGCCAGTATTCGGGCATATTAGGATTCTCAATCTCACGAAATGCTCCGCAAGCCATTGTGACTGCGCATTTGAACCATTGTAGATATGTGCCTTCCGATTCAAGAGCCACGTGAACCAAAGTCTGGGTGAGATCATGTATGCTATATGCTCCCCCTTCTTCAGCCGACCTACGCTTGATAAGAGAGAACATCTGAAGCTGTTGCAATGCACTTTGGAGCCGTACTTCAGAGGACATCATGTTGATCATTGATTCCAGCTCGGAAGATAGTAACGCACCTTTTTTGGGATCCAAGTTTTGAGCATCCCTCGCGGAGCTTTGACTGTGGGAAGCAAACCCAAAACAATTGACCTTGATCAGGCTCGGAATAAAACATTGTGTCCAATGCCGATTTTGTTCCAATTTCGATGGTTCTTGGGTCGGTTCCGATGAAGAAAGCAGAAAGTAAGCGCCCGTTTTGATTGTTTCGAACTCGATCCTTTCGGGGTCCCAGAACACGAGTATATTCAGCAAACCATAGACCTCAGGACTCGATCGCCTTAGACTATGGAGATGGGACTGAAAAATGCCCGAGATCGACTTTACTTCGTAGGCTGAGAACAAGTTTTGCCAGTTGAAAAACTATGCACGTTAGACGCCTCCATTGCAGCAAGGTCAAATAATGGTGCAAAGTCGAGCTTACGTCTGATTTCTGTTTGCCTTGATACAATCTCGTGAAAACCTCGATGGGTTGGCGTGATTGACTCATGAAAGATGCAACGTGCTCTACAGCGAAAGGTAGACATCCAAGACATTTCATTAGGTCAGTGACTTGGCGCCGGCCATCAATCGACATCGAGTTTTCGCTAACTCCTACTGATTTGAAAAAAAAGGTGGTTGAGTCCTCCACCGTTGGCGGCTTGATTTCGAAGTATGGATGCAACCTTCCAGAAGCTTTGCAAACGGCCTGAGCAACGGCTTCAGTCCGCGTAGTGATAAGGAGTCGACCTCGTCTGCCTTGTCGTGGCAAGTTTTCGCGAAGAAAATCGATTGTTGTCATGTCAACGTTGTCGAGGACGAGGAGCCAACGGTATATTCCACTGACCTCAGGTTGTTCGAGCCAACGACGAGCCGCAATAATTCGCGCATTTTGCTCTTGTTTGAATTGATCGGGATGGTCGATAAGGTCCAGGATCCTCGAGAAGCCTAGATGCACCTTTTCTAAAGTAGAGCAGGATATCCAGAACGATGCTGACACTGTTGGGCCTTCCAAGAACATTTTCGAATATCGAATTGCTAGTTGTGTCTTACCAACGCCCGGAATGCCCCAGAGAGCACAACGAGCGGGTAGATTCTCTTCACAAACTTGATGAGCATCTCGTACTTGAGTCAGCTGTGGCTGACGGTCCATGAAATGAATGGAGAGCAGATCAACAGGTGCATCGTTGAAAGACGACGTGAAGGGTTTGAATCGTTGATCCTCGCTTCCTGCAGAAGGATCCGATCGAACGTCTTTGGACAAGACTGATTGGGGCTGCGGCGACTCTTTGAACTCTTTCCACAAGCGACGTAGCGCCCTCTCTTGACCTTCACCGTAGATGAGCGGCATGTAAACACCAAAGATGCCTAAAAGACAGTAAGCTGCGTCTTCTGGCCGTGTCGTATTGCGATTTCGCACCCATGACATACGCTCGTCGACACTAAAGTCGTGCAACGGCCGATCTTTTCGAAGAGCTTCGAGGGCAATGCCTGTTGTCTCATGAATTATTTGCTCAAGCGATCTCTTATCGCCAAGAAGACAGTGCTCCTTAGAGAAGAACTCGATTGTCCGTGGAGCAACAAGTTCTTGAAGGGTCCAACCTCGAGTAAACCATCTGCTCTTGCGAAATTGCGACTTCCAAGGAAGTTGTTCGGACTTTTTGACGGTGTCTGACGCAGGTCCCGAGACATCTGAGAGATAGGTATAGCATTTTGCCGCATCGTGATACCATCGAAACATGGAGTTGATAGCCTCCGCAAGCTCTGTACTGTTCGACTTATCTATGCAACATGTATCCACCCAGAAGTATTCCAGGCCGTCGCGTTTTGCGCGTTCCCCACAAAATCGGATCTTGTCATAACCAGCCTTCGTCTCGCCGTTACCCTCAACAATGTCTCTGTAGGTGACCTCTTCTGTGTCCGCTCCCCAAGTGTGTGAAAGGATAGCAAATGGGGGAATATCTTTAACCAGATCCTTGGTCAGGATGAACTTGCCACTTTTGTCGCATTGTAGAAGACGCATCAGTCAGACTAATCTCGACAGGAAAGAGGGTTCTCGTAGGTATTCGTCGCAGGATCGGCATACAATCGAAGTTGTATGTTTTGTTGTGAGAGAAGATTGAATTTAGGCTGCAGTACGTAGCGACTGCCTTGTCGAAGACAATGCGCACAAGGTGGCGCGTCTTGCGCGTGCTGGTGAAGAGAGTCTCGAACGCAGTTGACGCCTTGTTTGTGCCTGCGTTGTTGCCTTGTTCAGCCCATGTTGGATCTTGGCCTTCAGGCGACTAACAGAGCCAACCTAGGAGCCTGGGTCTGAGAGTCTTACCCAGATTTCTTCACCTCACACGACCCGAACCCTGCACGACCTTGGTATCGTGCGTGCATGGCCAACATTGCAAGTCAAAACACAACAAACCTTATATTTCATTCACTGTACTTGCGGATGGTTGTCGCTTCCTCCCATGTTTCATAATAAAGCTGCGAGACAAGTTAGCCATTCCCTTCCGAGAACACATATGCTATTCAGAATGAACAAAATTCAGCGAGCCAAGCCCAGACCCAAGCAAGAGATGCGCAGTCAGATGATAGCTAGTATGATGGGACCCGTCGTCCCTCGCTAGACTGACGCGGGAGCGCAGATCCTGAGACTTTGTTTTCATCCTCTTCGTTGGCGTTGGCTTTGCCTTACTCAACTTCATCATGAGCGAGACTGGATCTTCGTTGATCAAGTCCTTGTCACCTTCCGAGGCTTCCACGGCTGGGACCAGGAATGAAGTGGAAAAGAGCCAGGAGTGGCACTACGATTACAGTACTGTGGTCGGATTCCTTAGTCAAGATGTCGCGAGGCCAATTTCAAGCAGACTCCATGCCGTATGTGCCATCTCTATACGCAAATGCTGGGAACGCTATCTGACAATCTCCACCGCGGCAGACGGAAGAGGATTTCGACCTAATAGAGCAAAGGTATGACACCGACAAGTTGTTGCCGGATAATGGCAAGCTTCTTACTCAATGGCAACGATTCACCCATAAATTGAAAGTCATGAATCAGAGAGCTCCGAAAGAAGTGACATATCGACTCCTCTACCTCGGGAGACATGGTCAAGGGTATCACAATGTTGGCATAATGTTTTATGGCGATGCTGCGTGGGATGTAAGTCTTCTAGTCTCCCTTCATCCCGATTCCGAGATCGAAACCTAATCCTCTGCCACCGAGGATCGCTTCGTTCTGTTCTTGTCACTGAGAGGTTTTGTTCTCATCCAGTGCTACTATGGCGCCTTCGACCAAGATCCTAACGTCCCAAGCATAACTTATCTCGATGCCCACCTAACCCCTCTCGGCAGACACCAAGCCAAAACCGTATCGAAATTCTGGCAGAACTTGAGCTCAACCCAGAAGATGCCCTTGCCTCAGACCTATTACAGCAGTCCACTCACCCGGGCGATGCAAACCGCCCAGCTCACCTTCTCCGGCCTACCTCTGCCACCGTCTCAGACCTTCCGTCCTGTGGTTAAAGAATTCCTCCGTGAAAGATACGGTATCCAATCCTGCGACGTACGGCCCACGAAATCATATATTCAGGCCAACTTTCCCGACTTCCGGATCGAAGACTCTTTCACAGAGAACGATGAGCTGCACTCTCCTACTCGCCGCGAGTCACTTCGACGCCAAGATAGACGTGTTCGAGCGTTACTCGATGATGTCTTCGCGCACGACGAAAGTACGTATATCAGCATAACGAGCCACAGTGAGACGATCGAGGCGACGTTGCGAGTCGTGGGCCATAGTGCGCTTTCTCTACCACCAGGTGGTATCGTCCCGGTACTCGTCAAAGTCAGCGAGGTCTCTGGAAAGCGGCATGATGGAGACGAGCAGGGGTGGGAGGCCAAGCCTGCCTGCGAGTCTGATCCACTCAAGTCTGGGAAGGACGGTTATAAGGACGTCGCCGAGTTCTTGGATGAGATTAATCGTAGTGTGCCGGAGTTGGAGGGAATGGTAGTGAATCCGAAATCATCGTCAAGCCGCTCGCGCTGAATCTGATAACGCCGATCTACGGTCGGATCGTTGGAGAGATTTGGCCTCAATCGACGGCGCGAGTGGAATACATAGGATCCGCCTCGATCAAGGCCAGGCGCTAGATGCTGAAGCGGATCTCGGAATCGGGATAGTGCCAGCCTGCCATCACGAGCGCGGCAGGTGTAACTGCACAGCTTGGGATGCATGCTAGCGGCGTATTTCAAAGTTCATGTCGTAATCTCGTCCACGGTCGATGCTCTATGCGTGATATCCCCCCCATCCGAGCCTGAAAGCTTCGTCACCACCACGATCCCATTTCTCCATCTGTCGCCACCGATAAGATCCTTGAGAGCTTTGACCAGAAGGCTTCAATCGGCGGCGGTCCTGGCTCCTTCATTCTGCTCTTTATTCATCCATAACGCCTTGGTATAGATATAGCAGTCTCCTTCCAGCTTTGCCTGCGTGCGCGCCTTAAATCATAAACAAATGAAAATGCCTCTGCGTAGGTGCCCAATTGTAAAGTTGAATTCCAGCAGCGTGATAATAGTCCTATCTTCCCGCCTCTTGGCCACCGTCAGAGGTGACTGACCTCGTCCGTTCGGGGAGCCCGGCACGGCAGCCCCTTCGAGAAGCAGACTGATGGTAACTTCATCTCCTCTTCCCACAGCACGCATGTGTGGTGCAACGCCCTGCCTTGGGAAATTGAGCCACTATTACCTCAGCTGCCATCGCCCTATACTCACCACAGGGACACCGATCAAATTTAGGCTTATGGTCTATCGTAAGCAAATAGTCGCTTGCGAGTTGATTTCGATGTCGCTTACCGGTGCTACGCTTCAGGAAATGCTTGAGGTCGAGCAGCCGTAGTCGCATATGACGCGGATATCTCCGACAGCGACGCTCTCCCGGGCTCGGCCGGGCCTCCTCGGTGCTCCGTCACGTGCTCGATTAACGCGGCCTCGCTCCCTTTCCTGAACGAAAATGGTAATGAACGAAGGACAGTTCGGGGTGTATATAATATGTATACATCTGTCTGCATTGCTATGCACTCGTCTATATCTGGTGATCTCACGCCAAACCGCCGACACGATTCCGATTAACCAATTACACTAGACAGATCCTGTCATCCATAGTATAGTATTCGATAAGCCAAAGTCTTCTCTTACCTTGAAGGGGGAAAAATGTGTGGAGGGGAGGGGGAGGGAGATAGGGCGGTCCTGTGCTCGTCCAAGTGTATATAAAGTTCACGTAAAGTTCTCTCCGTCATCCGATCGGTATCCGCGCTGCTGCTGCTTTTCCAAATTCAAGAATCAAAAATCAAAAATCAAGAGAGGGCGCACAATTTTTGACCCCATGATTTGATCCCCCCTTTCTTTCAAGGGAGGAGAATACTCGAAACCGAGCAGCTCTGGGTGCCAGGACAGACGTTCGACCTGGCCAGATCTTTGTCCCTGGGCCCGGTGGGACCGGCGACGTATTTGCGCTCGCCGAAGATGTCAATCTGGCCCGGCGTGCTGTCGGGAAGCTGGTTGTCGCCCCACTGGCCCGCAAAGTCTAGGTAGGCGGTGGGATCGCGGGCGTTGTACGCGGCGAAGACGCCGGTCGCGGTGTCGTAGCTGTAGGCGTACGCGGTCGCGAGGGGGTCCCAGAAGACGCCGGCGTCGGTGTGGTCCTCCAGCGGGCCCGCGGGGAGGTTGAGGCCCGGGATCGTGTGGTCGTGCGTCCCCGGCGTGGCGTAGTTGGCGTGCGTGCCGTTCGCCACGTACACCACCGGTCGGTCGCCGTTGTTGTACTTCTGCACGGCGGAGTAGGTGAAGGCCTCCCCGGAACTGTGCTGGCTGAACCACATGGCCGTGGGCGCGCCGTTGACGAAGCGGACCATCGTGTGCTCCCAATCACCGACATGGTCCCCAAACTCGAGAGCGGGGAGGCCCAAAACCCAGTTTCCTTGGTTGTAGGCATAGAAGTAAAAATAGAATGCGTCGAGGATGTTGTTCGGTTTGGAGACGGTGACGATGAGGCTCGCAACAGAGGGGCCTGTTGAGCCAGAGGCATCAGGCTCGACACCTCGGAACCAAGACGGGAGAGCCTCGATGCCTTCATTGGATGTGAGGTAAACGTCCGTACCGGAGGAGGCAAAGTTATTGAGACTGTTGAGATTGTCGAGAGTCAGGGGTGTGGGAGCACCAGCGATGTCGTTTCCTGAGCCATCTTCGGGATGTGTGTGCGTTACTTGATCAGCGATAGAGCTGGGGAAGTAGATCTCTGAGGAGTCAAGGTATGCCACCGGCGCTGGAATAGACTTTGTCAGCTCCTCTCCAGATTTCAGAAGAGAGTATAGAGACAGAGATTTACCATATTGGCAGACGAAAGCTGGCAGGTCACGTTTGTCAAGGTATTTCAGTGGCGATGAAATCGATGCTCTGCTCAAAAACAAGACGAGAAATAGGCAGTAAGAAAACATCGTGGAGCATCTACCCAGAGCATCATGCTTCTCATGAATGAGCGAGAGGGAACAATAGATATTTAAGACAGTTGTAGCGCTGGTATAAAGACATCGCTTCTGCCGCAATCAACCACTGGGTTAGCTTCAGGGATCAATCATCAATTTGGACTTTCTGTCCCTGTAACTCGTGATGAGGCCTTCAGTGGACAAGATTCATACAGAAAGAAACACGATTGACAACCCAGATGCGGGCCGGCGCGTGACATAGTGTCAAGCTCGTCCATGTTTGGAGGGATGGCCACGAATAGGCAAGTATAGAGCAGTGTCAGGAAGACCACGCATCCTGGTAAGCGAAAGCATCGACGGTTGTTCAATGACAGACATGGGACCAATCTCCGAAGCAAAGGCCAATCATATTGCACAAAAGTCGAACCCATGAACAGGCCAAACTAACAAGCAGGGGTCCGTCCCAGGGCTTAAATAAACGTGCATACCAAAGATGCTTCGATTCGCAGGAAGACCAACATTCGGAAACTGAGACTTTCACAGCCCTGCGGTCTTGCGTTGGCGTTAAAATTGAGACATGTCCTTCGGAGACTCATTGACACTCAAGCCTTGACATTCAGAATCAGCTGGGGTTTGCTTGGCAGCGAGGCACGTGATGGACTTGCCGGCGGCAAGATGAAGACGCAAAGCTGCTTGTATAGGAAATCCCCCTCAAGCAAACAAAACACTGATCCAAAATGGCTGGACTGATGTACCTGCAAGCCAATGGTCTCGGTTGTGGAAACAAGAAAGGATTCGTAGTCTTGATATTGAGGACAACTCTTTGAGATACTGCGCCTCGATTCCGATTCTGCGATGCGATATGTACAACGGCTGCATTGGGGCCCAGAGAGACCTATATGCACTTCAACTCTCTCCTCCTCCGCTTCAATCTTCCACTCTACCACAGCGTCTTGTGACCGAACAGAACGCGGGTCATTCCGTACACGGAGAAAGTGAGGCTGCCCAAAAGGATCGTGTAGTATGGATACAGGATGAATGGGCTCCGATGAGTCTGTGGGGAGATTGTGTTAGCGAAGCTGATCGGCAGGTAGAGCAAAAATAGGTTTGAAAAATGTGCAATGACAAGGTGGAGACCAGGAATCGAATTGAGACTGATGGGTGCATAAGGACTTATGGGACGGGATGGCAGATTTCTGTTCGGGACAATCCCTTGATCCTCCAAACTGCAGGCAGGCATTGTGCGGTTGTTGCTGAAAAGTGTCCGATATAGCCAGTGTTGCTGCTGTGGGAGATTCCTTTTCGGAACGTGCGGCGGAAGGCTCATGGTAGTCATGGTCGAGCGCAGAACGCAGGACAGCATGTACAAGGTCAAGAAGCTGAGCTGAGCATGCCCTACAGCCCCAAAGCGTTGACTCGGGCACTCTAGGCCAGACACAAGTCACTGTCGGAGCTGTTGCGCCAAAAGGCCACATCTCGGTGATGTTGCATTTCTTGCAACTCTTTCTTCTCTTCGGTTTTGGAGAGAGCGGGCCTTTGCTCTGTTTGGGTCTTGGGCTCCGAGGGTTCGCAGAGGCAGGACGAAGGTCTAATTCAAGAAGGTAAGAGTCTACTAACCTTCCACCATTGTCGTTTTCCATCGTGGCCCTGAAATAGACGTTGGTAGTAAGGTACACGATTCTCTCGATACACAAAGAACCTGTACCCGGAACTGATTAGCTAGATTCCAGTACTATGCCCCTGGTGCCGCAGCTGGAAGTTCGGAATGTTGGTGGTTTTCCCTTCCACGACGTACCCAGATTTCTGCTGAGCTTGAGCAGGTCTAAACATGCGGGCCCGGGTTGCCTGCATCATTCGAAGAGCTGTGGGAGCAACCATCTTGTCGGTTCAGGAGGGCAAATCACTTGAGTGTCGGTTGAAAGAGGTGGAGTAGAGAGCTTCAAAGAATTGCGCCTGAGGTTCGATTGAGGTTCGGAGGTCGCAGGCTCACGCCATGGCACCGCAGGAGCTAGCCGCCAAGCCTTTCTGAGGCACGTGACTTGACTGTATCTTTGAAGCAAGAATCTCCTGACTTTTCACTCCTACAGTTTTTCGGTTACAACTCTCTTCCTCATTGGCAGCAACTTACCTTTCTTGATCAAGCCTCTTCACTTGGTGGCCATGAAATCCTAGATGCGTTTAATGAAAGGTCACGTGTATGCTGCTACATGAGATTATTATGGGGTCGTCTTGAGAGATGCTCCCTGCCGCGATGTCTTCACGTATTGTCTAGCCAATGGCGAGCCCGATTACCCCGTTCGTACGTGACCATTGCTTTGAGTCCGCTCTTACCAGCATGGCATCTATCACACGGCCGGCCTATGACGACGACCTCGACCCCAGTATCGAAGCATGGCCCCGACGAGCATCGAGATGACCATTTCTCAGCCGCTGTCTCCGAGCAATCTCATTCCGATGACGCACAATGGGAGAGCCTCCTGGACCGTGGGCTGGCATACGGTATCAAAACCCGAGATCAGTTGCGCTTCGAGGCAGACGTGGGCCATACGTCGTTCGTTGGCGATCGTCTAGTCGACAAGCCCTCCCATCGTCACGACATAGAGCTTTGGGAGATCCTGTTGATTGCCCAAGCTCTACACAACGGCCATGATGGAATCAAGGCTATATGGAGAGGAATGAAATTCCGTGGAGAAGCCTTTCGGTTCGAAGGAGATGACCCCCGTGTCGAAGCTCTGTGGAAGACTTTTCTCTCTGCAGGGTCGGAGGACCATCATTTTCTCTGGTCAATCTGCAAGGAAGCCAAGCATCTGAAGTACGAACGTCCAAAGTTGTTTGCAGAGGTTGTTGGAGCTGCCTTGGAAGGGTCGGGCCCCCTGGAAGCCTATCAGTTCGCATCCTTCATCGGCCAGAAGCACTATAAGGGGCGTGATGATCTTCTGGCAGTCTTCTTTGCTGCCTGTCGCTCGAAGGAAGGCAATGCCCTAAAAGGGTTCTGCAGTGTCTACGATGTGGTTCCCCAGACTCGGATCTATTCAGAGGTTACTTCTCATCTGTGGAGTCAAAACCGGTCATCTGATGCCTTCATGATGCACTCTTTTTTGATCTCAAGGAGAGACCTGCCACCGCGTTTCGAGCTGCTTGAACCCTACATCAACTACTTAGCTCTGCACAACGAAAGTCTCGAAAAATTTCTCTTGCCGCTAAACCAGGCTGGTGCTTCTTTCGAAGCCCAGGCGAGACGTCTATGGTCAATCGGCAGAAGTAGAATCACGGGTGTGCCTGCAGATTCCCTCAATATCGTGGCAAGCAAGACTATGGGATCAGCACCGACAAAACTCAGCGATCAATTTGTTGCGCGAGCCTTTGCCACTCGGGCATTTTCTTTCGATTTTGCAGTCAATAGTCTAAGGATGATTGGACTTATTGAGGTCGGGCCGCTGGCGGTTCGTCAAATGACACTGGCTGCACCGGATCTCTCCACCTTACAAGCTCGCTTCGAGAAACTCCGCGACCTCGAAATTGACACTGGATCGTCTGTTTTTGTTCGGCTGATCAGAGATGTCTGTGATGCAGGGCATTGGGAAATGGTCCGAGCGCTCGTGGACAATGATCTACATCACGAAGTATTTGAGGATACCGAGCTACAAAAGCGGCTTTTGACGGAGTATTACCGGACAAAAGACTGGGGACAACTAAATCGTACGCTTGTCATTCTCAACGAGGGACATCTCGACAACTACTCTCGTAGTCGATCCACCAACTTCTTGTTGAGAGCAATGATGGAAGTGGGCGACTGGAAGAGCGTTGTAAATTATGTGTCGACTTTACAAGAGCACGGTTTACATATCTCTTCATCCTTCCCTGAATTTGTCGTTTCTCTCTTCCGAAGCACTAAACAACTCACTGGTGGTGGCGGTCGTGGAGATGTGGACAAAGTTGGATTCCTGATAGGATTGATGCAGAGTATCCTTGCTTCGGGAACAAACTTCAAGATCAAGCTCTGGCGGGCGCCGATAAAGGCACTCGGTCGCCAAGGACGACTGAAAGAGCTGGAGTTACTCGCCTACTGGATATCGGAGTGGTACCGCAGTGGAGGACTTAACGGACAAGTTCTTCAAGTCCCGATGTCCGGCTCAGGGACGAATCTGAGCATCCTGTTCGACGACAAGTTCCAAAAGTCGCTCATGTCATGGTGTTTCAGACCTCGCAAAGGAATGGGTGCCGTTTCCCCTGAACGTTGTCTTAGATGGACCCGCGTGCTCAAGAGGCTTCGGGACGTCTACGGTGTGGAAGTCAAGGAATACGTCATCCGATGGGAGTTTATCCACCGCTTACGACGGCTTTTCGCTGTGGGAATGCGTCTCAAGGCACCCAATGCGTGGATGCGTTCGAGAAACCGCGCCTCGCTCACACGATTTTGGGCTCTATATGACAAGATGTGGGACATGAAACCAGCTGGTCAGGTCAAGTATGATGATCGAATTGAAGCCAGCCTCTACCATCGCAAGCTGAGCCCTCTCAAGCGGAGGCGTTTGATAAGCCACTGGGCGACAAGGCGGACTGAACAAGCCTTGGACCGGGGACAACAGATTAGCAATGGCCAGAACAAGAGGCAAGAGGATATTGTTGTGTACAGAGATCTCTTTAATGCGTCATGGGAGGACTATAGACGGTGAATAGCAGATTGAATAATGCTGGTCTGTGAATGTCCGTCCAACTCAGTTCATTCTGCCAGACCTTGTTCTATTCCGTTTCAACTAAAAGCGGCGACTCAAACTTTTATTTTCTCTCACAGACTCAAACTCGAACACCTCGCCGCTTTTGTCTCTCAGAGCAACCACAGCGCTAACGTCTTTTGGACTAGTAAGTGGACATATCATTCACACTCACATAACTCAACCCGGTAAGGCGGTCTGACTTTTGTCCCTTTGTCATATTTGTGAGATTTTGTGAAAAAATGGCGGACCTGGGCGTCTTGAACGAGCTGAAGAATCAGCAACGGCCTGCCCGTC